GCAGGTGAATGATATGGTGTAGTAGCTGATCCAAATGCAGTACGTGGAAAATGGAATCTCGGAAGAATTACAGAAATCTATCCTGGAAGAGATGGACGGGTGCGAAATGTTAAAGTAAAAACTGCAAATGGACATTATAGTAGACCAGTAACGAAAATTGTTGTTATTTGCCCTGTTGAGGGATATAATTAGTAATGTATTTGGTTTGAGATGCGATTGTATCGCATCGTGGTGGGAGAGTGTTTCGAGCGAAACTTAACTTCTGAACATTGAGGGCGCCCTTGAGCGCCAAAGGAATCAAAACATAGATTCAAAATGGCAGCTCGCACTGATGTAGCGAACGGTGTCGCTTTGAAAGTCATAGAAATCACCAGTTTATAGAAACCTTTGCCATCTATACGATGCTGTATTGGGTGAGTTTCTTGGCATATACATTGCAGATGATTGTTGTTGTTTTTCTGATGTGGACATGCCATTTCCAATATTAGCGTGAAAATTTGAACGTTGAAAGACATGTGTTTATGATTTGCCGGACGGTTACTGAGACTGTATAATGAGTAATGATGATGTTATATTTGTTGATCAGTTGCGTTGTACATGTAATTTTCAGAGTTTTAAAGGATGATGTTTACTACAGAATAAGCTTAGAAACGTTCGGTGTGATTTATTGTTGAAGCAACAAACTTTTGCATAGTTAATCCAGCAAGTTTACTAGTTTGTGATGCATAATTAGAAATGTTTATGTTGAGGTGTTGTAGTTGAGTTTCTGGTATTTAGAAAATAGTATTATATTATAGGATCAATAACCTGTCTATGCCGCTAACCTGTGACGATAGTCAACACTGCTAACCTGTGACAATAGTCAACACTGCTAACCTTTGATGACAGTCAATGCTGCTAACCTGTGACGATAGTCAACACTGCTAACCTGTGATACTACTCAAATGCTAACCAGAGACGTCTAACCTGTAATTATATCCGGCCACAGTAGTGAGTTAAAATTTATTAGTAATTTTAATGTCATTAGTCATTTTGCTGAGACAAATTTAGACATGTGAATTGAGTTAATACAAATAATACTGAGTAAGGGAATGAGTTTGTTGTGATGTATTTTTTATTGAAAATAGTTTTTTGTTTATTGTTATTTACAGAATTGAATGGTTGATCAATAAAAGATCTCTCATACATTAAAACCGGGTGTAATTATATGCGTTCTTGTCCAGTCGGTCTCACCAGTATTGGTTGGGTTGATGTAAAAACATACATTCAGTTAGTAAAAAAAGACCTTTCACCATTCCTAATTGTACACTTACGTTTAAAGTCATTATTTAGAAACTCGTTAACAAGATCTAGCGGTATGTTGTTCCCAGCTCCTCCTTTCAGGTTAGCAGTGCTATTCCAAAGCATTTCTTCTCCTTGCCTTGGCGAAACATAACCATTTATACCTGAAGTAAACGTTGAATATATTAACCAATATTTACTTGTGAGGATCGCCAGTAATTTTAATCACATATTTGAAAGTTACTGAAAAAACGATAAAATAAACTTACATGCTAGCAATCTATGGCCAATTATAAGATATTTATAATGGTTATTTTCCCAGAAATCTAACATTGAAACTCTCCAATTCGACATCATTGCGGGACCATCGTTTTCGCGTTCTGCATCTCTTTCTGCCATATGGAATAACCCTCTCCATAATACATGACAGGAGTAATTGAAGAGGTAGTCAGCACCGGTGTCCTGGTCTGGCTTTGATAAAGGCCCTTTAACTTGACAGTCATCTGAACAAAACCAAGAACCATCTAGTGGAAAATTTATCAACAGATAATTATTATTATTTTTATTTTTATTATTATTATTATTATAAAAATATGTAGTTATGGGCCTATCAGCTTACCTGGGCATTGATTCAAACCAACACATCGCATATGAAACCATTCTCCATTAGGGCACATGAACTCCCTGTCACACCCTATCCACTTATCATCATCAGTATCTTCTTTCTTTTTACAGAAACAATAAATTGATGATTGTTCACAGTCCGGGCTACACCACCACTCGTCATCTGGTACAGATTCAGGTTGTAATTCAACACAATCGAGGTGGAACCATCTGCCTCTTTTACACTGTGAGAGTGCAGAACATTCAATCATGGTCCCTCCTAGGTCTGTGAATAAAGGGATGGTTTGTTATATTGTATTGAGTTCAGTAGTAGAATCTATCTTCCTATTGCGTTGTTTCACAGATCACCATACATGCACATACCTGTTTTACATACGCAATAATCATCATCGTCATCATCATAATTATCAATGCATGGCTGTTGATCACTATCACTAAGTGGTACTTCATCTACATCCGGCCAAATAAAAGAAACTATTTCCTCTGCTAACTTTTCAACGTAGTCTTTCTGCTGGTCCGGTTGAATAATCGGCTTATCACGTAGGCTGGTCAGTCTTCTTAAATGCATTGCCAATAGACAGGTATAGCCTTCGGTCATAAAGTTAAGAAAATCCACTGTGTGATTAACATCATCAATCACCTTCTTTTTCACTGCACGGTGACCAAACTTAATTTTGACATGGAATAAAGACCCACGTGCACTTGCCGAACTTCCACTGAATAGTTTGTTCATGGTGTCCTTCAAATAAAAGAAACAAATATTACACATGCATACATACATAATTTATAACATTATATTTATATTACGAGCATGTAACTACCCAGTATTTACCTGCATTGTGATGCACCTTTTGTGGAACTACTGGGGCCTTGGTTCGAGCCCAACAAGACGATTGACATGGTCTTGGCTACATGCCATAGAAAACTTGGCATCAACCATACGTTCAATTGATAATTGATCACCGTGACATACAACGTCATAGAGAGGTTTTCCATTTTGTGATGGTACATACTGTCCAAGATGTCGCAATATCTCAATCACACCTTTGCTGGAGGAAGGGTTGGCTTTTATTACACCAGGGTTAACCTGAAAAAACGTAAATATATCAATATCCAGAGTAAGTATATAACAAATAACTTGGACGTGGTTAGAAATTTAAATCATATTCCATCATGCTATATTCAAAGGAACCATCCGATTTATCGTTTGGACTGTTAATATATTACTGTACATTTCGGCCTTAGTATGGTGTCAATTTTCATTGACCTATTTCAAAACGTTACACTTCATATTGGTTTAAAGACTTTAACGCGAGTTTGGTCTATAGTTAGAAATGTGTCAAGGTGAATATTTAGTGTGAAATGAGTGGAAAGTATCTATTTTAATTGTCATCATTTTACGACTAACTTTACTGCAACACAACTTAACACCATAATAGAGTAAGTTTAGTTTTGGGTTTGAATATTATGTGATATTGGGACTTCTCACTCTTTAATCGTGATTCAGAAGAGTACTTGTGCGATATATGCCATTGTATTTGTGTGTCCTTTAAACACTCAAAGTTACGCACAAGAATACGCTGAACTAGTGTTTTCATCCTTGTTCTTACTCGAGTCCAATCACTCTGTGAAGGCAAAAAAAACCGCAACAGGGATATCGACTGCTTTTTTGGTCCTGATGTCATCGTAGTCGCGAAATGATATACGGTTTTTGGTAGCGAATGACAGTGCCCAGAGCATCATTTTATTTTTGACTTTCTGGGATTGGTGTCTGGCTTCAGAGAGCTTTTGAACGTTGTCCCAGCACAGACTGTATCCGGGTTCTACAGAAATATAGCAGAGAAGCAGAAATACATGTATATTACTGTAATGCAAGAGGGCCGATCTATCGGAAAATGCACACAGGATAAAAAAGTAGCATTAAAATGATACCTCTTACTAAAATCGGTGTAAGGGGTTGCTTGCCCGGACAAAATACAACATTTCTCAGGAACTCGCAAGTCAGACGGACGTCG